AGAGTCATCAAAATAATGGAAAATTGTTTTTCACAGGATGAAAAGATTCCCCCAGAAGGCATGCTGTTTTCTTACAGAGGTATTTTATACCCTGCTACACTTAGCAGCCCAGAAACTTTGGAAGCTCTGAAATCAGGAGAGATGATGTGATTCTAGCAGGCTATCCTAAAACAGGTGAATGTTTTTTTCTTGATAAGTAGTCAAGTACACAGGGCTGCAATCCAGAAGTTTGTGCTATCATTTAACACAGCAATAATACCTGAGAAAAGCTTATGGTGACATCAGACTTCATAGGATCATGAATTTACATTGTAAGGTATCTCTGGAGGTCAAATAATACAACCTCCTGCTCAAAGCAGGGGAAAGACCTGACCTTCAAAGTTAGGTTTGGTTGCTCAAGGCTTTGTCCAGAAGAGTTATAAAACTCTGAGGGTGGAGATTCACCACTCACTGGAAATCTATTGCAGTGTTTTCCCACTATAGTGGCTTTTTTGGGTTTGTTTTTTTGGTTGGTTGGTTTGTTTACTTCTATGCAGTCAGACATCCCCTTGTTGTGATTTGTAATATGCCCCTTTTTTAATTTCCTGGCCAATTTTCAGAAGAGTTGGCTCTGTCTTCATTTCAACCTCCAGTAGTGGAAGACTGCAGTGAGATTTCCCCATGCCTTATTTTTTTTTTTCTCCTGCCTGAGCAAACCAAGCCTTTCTATGCATTTTATTTGCTCTAGCTCCCAGTGATTTCATGGAAGTTAAGCAGGACTTTCTCCAGATTCTCCAAATCGCTTGTGCTTCAGTGCAGGAACTGCACACAGTATTCAAGTGGTGAAGGGTTGGGTAAAGCAAGGTAATCACAACCCTTGATATTCTGACCACTTTTGCTAACACAGGAAAGTACGTTGTCACCCTACATGCTGCAAGGGCAATACAGGGAATATATCCTGCTAATGAGGGCAGAAGAACTACTGTTTCCATAGACTTCCAGCATTGAAGAATGCAGGTGTTTCCCATGTTTCTAAATGGAGGGAAAGACATGAATGCCACCAGGACCCTTGGATTATTTCCTCTCTCTTTCACTATGGGCATTTTAGATTCCTTCTTTTTTTCCCTATCCACTTTAGAGAAATATCTTAATAGGTCATTTGCAGAAAAAGAGGAATTGTTGATCCTTATCACATCCCCTTTGTGTGCAGCCTGCACAAGCAGAAATGGTTTAAAAGTGTGAGGGTTCACCTACACACATGTATTGGGTTTGGCTGAGATGGAGTTAATTTTCCCCATAGCAGCCCTCATAGTGCTATGCTTTGCATTGATAGCTGGAAGGGTGTTGATAACACACCAGTGTTTTGGCTACTGCTGAGAGGTGCTCGCGCAGCATCAAGGCTGTCTCTTGGGAGGGGGCACAGACAGGACAGCTGATCCAGATTGACCAAAGGGATATTCCATACCATATGACATCCACTCAGTAATAACAGCTAGGAGAAAGGAGGAGGGGGGGGAGCATTGATTGTTTTACAATGTTTGTCCTCCAGAGCAACCACTGCACATGCTGGGGCCCTGCTTCCTGGGGGTGGCTGGACATCGCCGCTGATGGGAAGCAGAGAACAAAATCTTTTTCTTTTCCTTTTGCTTTTCTGCACACAGCCTTTGCTTCTGCTTTCATTAAACTGTCCTTATCTCGACCCACAGGCCTTTCGTTATATGTTCTCTCCCCTGTCCATCTAAGCAGGGTGAGTGACAGAGCAGCTTTGGTGGGCACCTGGCATCTAGCCAGGGTCAACCCACCACAACATCCCAGAAGGTGCTAGGTGAAAACTGAGACTTGGCTCTCCAGTCCCTCACACACCAGTTTTGCCAGGTTGCAGCGGCCAAGACAGCTAAGCCTCGTGCAAAGGCGGTGACAGGAGCTTGACAGTCTGGTGGTTTGGTTGATGACCCCTTCTGCTGCCAGTTATGGAAGCCTAGCTGGGGGCTGGGAACGAGGCAAAACTATGTTGATCACGAAGAGACTGTACACTGAAGCTGGTTGGGAGGAGGGAACAGAATGTTCCCAAAGACAGGGATGTGGAAGGAGAGCAGAAACAGCCAAGGGACGACTCAGTTGGCCCTGTGCTGGGACCTCTACTACTCTTGAGTAATTTCCACAGGTCTGAGGTGACCAAAAAGTGCCAGAGCTGGAAAAAGCAATAGAGGTCTGCTTCTATTTCCACTGAGGGACGGGGTGTGCTGCCGAAGCAAGCAGGGTAGCACTCCACAACATCTGACTGACAGCTCTGTTGGCTTTTGGCATACCCTTGTTGATTGTTGCCCAGAGTCGTGGTTTAACCTCAGCTGACAACTAAGCACCACACAGCTGCTTGCTCATTCCACCCTGGTGGAATGGGGGGGAGAAACAGAACAGTAAAAGTGAGAAAAATTGTGGGTTGAAATAAAGACAGTTTAACAGGTAAAGCAAAAGCCATGTGTGCAAGCAAAGCAAACTAAGGAATTCATTCACTACTGTCCATCAGCAGGCAGGTGTTCAGCCATCTCCAGGAAAGCAGGCCTCCATCATGCGTAACGGTTACTTGGGAAGACAAACGACATCACTCCAAACATCTCCCCCTTCCTTCTTCTTCCCCCAGCTTTATATGCTGAGCATGACGTCATGTGGTATGGAATATCCCTTTGGTCAGCTGGGGTCAGCTGTCCCTCCCAATTTCTTGTGCACCCCCAGCCTGCTTGCTGGTGGGGTGGTGTGAGAAGCAGAAAAGGCCTTGACTCTCTAAGCACTGCTCAGCAACAGTGGAAATATCCTTGTATTACTAACAGTTTCCAGCACAAATCCAAAACATAGCCCCATACTAGCTACTATGCAAAGAACTAACTCTGCCCCAGCCAAAACCAGCACACCCACCTGTTGACAGGCTAAGGTACAATATAGAGCCAAACTGGTCCACAAATGTGAACCAGTTTGACAGGATATCCTGTCAGCCAGATTGACATGAAAAAGTGCAAATGCGCAGTCCAGAATGGATGTGTTACTGTTGTCTTTATCCTCTCAGGAACCAATTGGCTTGACCAAATGGTGAGGGAGTTGGAATCAACAGATGCCAAATATACAGAAGAAGAAATGAAAGACACAATAAATGCTGAAAAGAAGTTAGAGCCATTTCCATATCTAGAAATTGGAGATCCTGGAACATATGAGGTTGGCAGGGACTGAAAATACTGGCACTGCTGTTCTTACAGGTGGTATTAGCTGAAAGACAATGGCCCATCTCAGAGGTAATGGAGAGCCTAGAGCCTTAACAACAGCTATGGCCTGCACAAGTAGCATGTGCTATTGCCCTTGGTGTCCCAGCACAAGGGTCTCAGAGCCCAGACAGTGCTGAGAAGCCACAGGGGGCTCCAGCCCTGGGCCCAGGGGGTTTGATCAGTAAGACCTTTTTCTTGCATGTCCTGTCGTCAAGCCTATCTTGTGAAATGGTGCTCTGTGGCAGAGGCTGGCAGAAGCTTACACCATGAGTGCATCCCTGTGGGTTTTCCAAGGGGTAAGATCCTTCTTCTTACCCACAATTCCTGAAAAGGCACATGTCACTGAATAAGCTACTTCTGTCCTGTTACATTTCTTCCCACTTGCTTTACAGAGGATGAAGAAACTGCCTTCCAGAAGAATCATAGTAACCCATCTGCCACCTCATCTCCTGCCCCCATCCATTCTCCAAAGCAAGGCTAAGGTGAGTCTTCTCTTTGCATCACACTGCAAAAGCTTTTCCACCCCAAACTAGCTTTCGTCTGTCTATGTGAGATGTGTTTTCTGCACTTTCACCTGGGCTGGTCAATGCACAGGCACATTTCCAAGCTTGAAGAGACAGAGTGCTGTGTGCTGAGGCTGTGAACAAACATCCTCTCCCAGCAGCAGCTTTGCTGACTCAAGAGGTTACTGTCAGTGGGCTTGTCACTGGGTGTCACTGCGCCTTCAGATCTGCTTCAGAAAGATGCTTCTAGGTTTGTGTCAGAAAACTGAGCAGGGCAAGCAGTTATTCCATTTGCTTTAACTTACCTCCAAGACCAGACTACCTGTGGAAAGCCCAACACAGGCTGGGGCTAAGATAATCTTCAATGGGGATTTCTGCAGAGAGAAGCAAGGGTGCACCCACAGCCTGCTTGCGGGTCTCCTGTCCAGTAGCCCATGAGCTTATTTCCCTGGATTGGAGCTAGCTCAGAGCTATGTCCCAAGTGGATCACTGAAAAGCTTCTTGTTTTCAACCTCAAGTTCACATTAGCAGTAAGTGGCCTGCAAAAGCTCTAATTTCTTGCTCAAGAAGAGGAATTAGACCAGCATTGTACGGTCTGGTAGGTGTTAGTGGACATGCAATATGTGTTGAGTAGGTGGTGTTTTGTTCAGTCTCCAAATGAGAACCAAATTAGGTGTTCTCTTCCTCCAGATCCTTGTGCTAGTTTGGAACCCTAAAAACATGGCTGTCTCCTATTACTGCTTCTACAACAACATGCCAGTGCTGCCATCCTTCACCTCCTGGTATGGGTACTTCGCAGCTTTCATGAATGGGAAATGTACTTTGCCCTGCATCCTCTGGCATTCCTCCTTACATGAGGGGCATACACAGGACCCTGTGCATGGGAATCCTGCCCCAACATACCTTACCAAGGCACTACCAGGACAGACAGACAGGCCCATGTTATGGCTGAAACAGGGAGTACCAGAGAATCAGTTTCTTTTGTCTCTAACTCTGAACGGAGAGATCATGAGAAAGCTTTAGCCTGACTTTTCCATTTCCACCATAGAGGTTGTTGTTCAGTGCAACCTAGTGGCCAGAGCTGGGGGATCCTGCACTGACCTCAGCTAAAAGAACAGACATGTTGAGCTGGTCTCCACCACCCTGGTGCAATGCTTAGAGAGCTGTCTGGGTTGACTCCTCTGATTTGGTAAAAGCCTGTTTTGGGGAAACCCTACACAGCTATGTTTCTTCTTTTTCTGCAGTGGCCTGGGAATCCTACTTTGACCACTTAGTAGAATGCAACAAATACATTGGCCACCAGAGGATCATGATGATAAGCTACAAGGAACTCAAAGAGGTGTGGCATCTCACCTAGCTCTTCCTTGATGGGTGCACTGTGCACACTTCCTGATATGTATGGCTGTGTGGAAGAAGAAACTCTTGGGCCTGTTTGCCCCTTTAGAAGGGCGTGCCTTTCTAAACTACTCTTTTATGTAGACAGAAATGCCTTGAAGCTGAGGCCACTATGTATGGGTTCCCTCTCTGTTAGACCTTTAAGACTATGAAGTCCAACTGTTAACCTAGCACTGCCAAGTCCACCACTAAACTATGTCCCTAAGCACCACATCTACATGTCTTTTAAATACCTCCAGGGATGGAGACTCAACCACTTCC